GAGGGAATAAAACCCCTTAACTAAGTGCCAGGCGGGTAGTTAATCACTTTAACTAAGAACAATCACGCTTAAGCTACATAATCTTTACTCCCTGGAATGGAGATAAGAAACAACACCCTAACCTTTGGAATAGAAATTGACAGGATTAAAATCAACTGGTATAAATACAGATGTAACAAGACAACAGAAGACAGAACCTAGACACAGAACCTAGAAACAGAACCTAGCAAGAGAACTTGGCTGAAGAACCTAGACACAGAACTTAGAAACAGAACCTAGCGAGAGAACATGGCGAAAGATCCTGGACAGAACCTGGCTACAGAACTTGGCTGGAGAACCTAGACAGAACATGGCAGGAGAACCTGGATAGAACCTGGCTGGAGAACCTGGCGACTAGAACCTGGCGACTGAACCTGGCAAGAGAACCTAGACAGAACTTGGCTGGAGATCCTGGAGGGAGAACCTCGCCATGATGATCACCTGAATGCAGCCTCCAAGTCCTTCCTTCATCGCCGACTCCGTCCACACCTTTGGGGACCCCTGGACCTGTTGGGGTTGGACCCCAACAACAGTTTACATCAAGTCCTGTAAATATCATGGTCTTGCAAGTAATAGCATTTATTGTAATCATTTGTGAACTTGATTGTTTCATCCACTATCTAGAACTGGAGTTTTTAAAAAATCCCCTAATCTATATACAAATATTTTGTGTGTAGATCCATATGAGCACTATTCTGTAGAAGGACTCATATTTTTTTTTCTGTGTCTCAGAATTCCATAATCCAAAAGAGAACAAGAAATGCTGAATTAGATTCTACATTTTTAAAGGCAAGAATTCCTTTGCAAAAATTGAAATGACAGTTAACTTATTTGCCATCAGAAATATAAGTATAGGAAAGATTAGGTTCTTGAGTTCATAGTTTACTGTATTCTTGTACTGTAGCTATATCAACCAAAAAAGTCTAATTATAATCATCCTCTCTATAAACTTTTATGTCCTTAACAATCTCATTTTTATATCTTTTCCTAATGACTTAGTTGAGAATGCTGATGTTTTGCAGGTTCATCTCAAGTTGTATTTTACTAACAAAAGGGAAAAATAGTATAAAATTCAAATTATCTTTGAAAGGTGATCCTTTTTTAATGCCCAAGAAATATTTGTCAGTAATGATGAGAATGGAATTAAATAAAAACCTTCATTATCTACCGTAAACTTTTAACATAAGACAGAAGATGGTTTTAGACAATGCTTTTAGGAAGTGATGTTTATGACCTCAATATACATTAGAAAGCAAGACAACAAGCCCTCTCCCTCAGGCATAAGCTTTCTGAGGGAAGGACAGTACTGCAATTATTTTTGTGAGCTTAGTGTCTAGCACTGTTTTTGGCACACAGTAGAAACAAAGTAAAATTCTTTTGACTTAATAAGTGAAAGAATAAATAAAGACCTTTTAGATAAAGTAGGGGTGGAGAGTTTGGGTGAATTTTAGGTTTCTATAGTGAAATTTGGATATTCACTTGAAGGGGAATAACTTCTCTGAGATATCTTTATCTTCCTTAAACTCTACTCACACATTAATATAAAACAAGCAAAATGAGATAAATCAAAACAAAAATTAAAAAGCTCAAATCCCACCTGGCTGGTGGGGCTCAGAACCAGGAGGTCAAGATTCGATTCCTAGTCAGGGCACATGCCAGGGGTTGTGGGCTCGATGCCCAGTAGGGGACATGCAGGAGGCAGCCAATCGATGATGTTTCTATCTCTCTCTTCCTCTCCCTTTCTGCAATCAATAAAAATATATTTTAAAAAAAGCTCAAATCCCCCTCTTAGATGAAAACCTGATATCCTTAACCAGAAGTGATATTCTCTCTTTTAATATCCCATAATATTATAATCTCTCTGAGAGTATTTTTGTTACTTGCCATGTTATTTTTAACTGTGAATGTAGCTGGGCCAGCTGAAGCCTCCTGGTTTATTAGCCAACTTGGTAAATTTGACTAAAACCCGAAACCCACAGCCTATGATTGGTCATATAAATCCAACTTTTAGACATTTCTGAGGGTTTTTCCCCACATCTTCTCTGTCATAAGATATGAAATACTACCTCCTCTGATGTCTCTATGTGGTATCATTTACCTTAACCCAAATTAGACCAGAAATTTAGTGCTTTTACTGGTTTCCACAAAAAGCCATATACATGAGGCTTTCAGTAACTTGAAAAAATTTGCAGAAAAAAAATGAAGAATACAGAAAGGCGACCTTATGCCATTATTTTATTTTTTAAATCTTGAACTTTACCTTGAATCTTTGCTCTTCCTTCCCCTACTCAGGATTTTCTCCTCTCAGAGTTTTAGATTCTTTTTTTTTTTTTACAATTTAAAAAAAATATATTTTTATTGATTTTTAGAGAGAAAGGAGGGGAGAGGGAGTGGGGTGGGGAGAGGGAGTGGGATAAGGAGATAGACACATCAATGAGAGAGGAACATCAACAATCGGCCACATACCAGCCGGGCTAGATTCTTTTTTATCTGTTATGTAGAGCAGCTTCTTCCTCCTAGGCCTTTTCCCTGCTATCCCTCAAACTCGGAACACTCAATGCATTTTCCCAGAAAAATACAGCTTTATCCTTCAAAAGTATTCAGTGTCAGTTGTTAAAGTTATTGTACTTTGTGCATGCTGCTCATAAACTTTACCCCTTATTTGCATTTCTTCCTGCAACTTTCTCAGGGTTATAGGAACCTCTCAACAATACCTCACAAGGATGTGGTGTGGTTCATCTAGAATTTTTTAATTTACTGCTTCATTTGATCCTTCAAAATAACTAGGTAGTTGACAAGAGAGGTTAAAGCAACAATAACTCATTTAAAGAGGTTAAGTGATTTTTAAAAAAAATAAGGTCTTATGATTTAACAGCAGAGAAAAGATTGGAACCCAGGTCTTTGGATGCCAAGTGCAGTGCTTTCTCTTACATCAGCCATAAACAATAGCTGGATAAATAAATATCTAAAATAGTCACCAGAAAACATCTACAGTTAAATGGATGTGGAATTGACAGCAAGAATTTGATGACTCTTCTATGAAATGGGGTGGAGTGGTAGTGGGGGAGAGGAAAGATCAAATATTACACAGACAATATAACATCCTCTCTCCCCCACAAAAAAGACAAAAGTATTTTCTTACATTGTCACACCTAACAATCTAAAACTTATTATTGAGTATTATCTCATGCTGGATCCACTGTCAATTCCAAAATATATCCAAACTATGCTTTGCAACATCTAAACTGTCGTCAATACCTTTTTGGTAATGCTCTGACTTGCTGGTCTTCTACTATTAGGAATTTCCCACATTGGTAGGGAATATTCTGTTCCCCCGAGTCCTTGTGTAAAAAGGGTATTGGAGGCTAATGAAACGATTTTTTAATAGCAGGGTCAACCAACCTTTTCTGTCAGATAAGGCCACAAATTCACCTGTGATAGGAGTGGGGCACTGGACAAAACAGAACTTGGGATTCCAATGCCACCCATCCTGAATTCTTACATTTTTTTTTTCCTGCAAGGTGATTGTCCAAAGTGGCCAAGGATGGAGTTTGGAGACTTCCTTGAGATGATAAAAAAAGGATGTAAGACTGTTTTTGTTCTTTTTTTCTAATACTTATTTCATATTTGACAGGTATTTGTTTAAACTTGCATTCACTTGGTCGAAAGGCTATGAAGAAAGAAAACAAATATTTGGTTTATTCATTCTCTTTCTACTTTTAGTACAGATAATAAATATTTGACTAAATCAACACCAAAATTCATACACATGGCACAAACAAAACAAAACAAAACAAAACAAAAAACCCTCCAAATAAGTGAATATAAAATTACTTTCAGATTTGTTTATTTTCAATACCAACCAGTACCAGAATATTTCTGGTACAGTCAGACTAATCAAGCCTTTACAAATAGTGTGTAGAGATCGATAGCCTTTAAGATATTGGCACATGTACATTTATAGCTATTGACAAAGCTTAACTCTCTTCAAGAACATTCCAACTAATATTGGCATTCTGCTTTATCCATTGACACTCACCATGATGTACTGTGGAAGACTTTAAGACTTTCTCTGTTTGACTAAGCTTTACAGTCATTAATGTTTAATCACTTACAATTCAGTAAGCATTGTGCTTTCATTTGGTATATGCCTTGTTTATCTTGTATATAAAGTAAATCAACAGTGCCTTTCTGGTAGTCTCCCAGTACATTTATAATCAGTCCCATTTGGTGATCTGTGATGAATATGAATACAACTGCTATTTGGAATTACTTTATCACTTTATACAGATTCTGAATTCAATTTTTGCTTCACAACAATTATAAATTAAAAGTAAATTCCAGCCAAACACTCTGAAACTGTGAGCATATTGGAAGTTGGAGGGAGGGGAGAGGCGCAGAAACAAAGATATTCTTTTTTTTTCTAATGTGCTATTTAAAATATGTTGTATGTCCATGAATTACTTCTATACTACGTATAAGAAAAATGGTTACCTTAAAAATTTTGGGGATGAAAGAGATTTCTAGCCACTGAGAGGGTCAAAATTCTGTAGTGCCCATCCTTACGGACAAGTAGCACTCACTCATGGAATGGTTACCCGAGGAAACAGTAAAGGGACCTTGAACCATAGTCATGCACATGCCACTGCAATGAATGCGCGCCATTGTACCATCATCCTCAGGGCACTAGTGAGAGACAAAATGCACTTGGCTGAGGCTGGGGGACATAGGGGCACAAAGAACCCAATTCAAGCAAAACGTACTGGGTAAGGACACATTTGTCGAATTTTAACAGACTCCTGGCATTTGTATTTACTCTTTGTTTACGTTTGGGATTTTACGGAAATGCTGATGATTTTGCCAAGTTCTCTTTATACTCTGAAAAACTGAAAATGTAGATTAAAGCACAATTTTATTTTACTTAAGAACATTTATTAACATCCTCAGAAATATTTTTAAAAAACTGGTTTCAAGGAAACTTAGAAATAATTGAAAACTATTCATATAGCAAATAAAAATGTCATTTCCTCTATATGGCTCTACAAGTGAAAAAAATATATATAATTCTATTTTTCCCTCTCATGAAACTGGCCCAGAGTGTGAACAAACAAGCCCCATGCAGGCTGGCAGATCCTCAGTTATACTTTATTGCTGTCAGAGCCCCACCGTCATGTCAGGTATCAGATTTTCCATTCACCTGTCTCTATCTGCAAGAAAAAGGATGTTGATGTCTAGCTTTTTAAAGAAAAGTCTGCATTCGTTCTTTATTCTGTTCTGTAGAGTTTGAATACATACTCATCTTTTATTGACACGCAATTCATAGTCACAGGATGACAGGAAGATATAGCAATAAGCAGAGGCTCAGGAAATTGGGTCCATTGTAATGTCAAGAGAATAAGGCAGCCGAAACCGGTTTGGCTCAGTGGATAGAGCGTCGGCCTGCGGACTGAAGGGTCCCAGGTTCGATTCCGGTCAAGGGCATGTACCTGGGTTGCGGGCACATCCCCAGTGGGAGATGTGCAGGAGGCGGCTGATCGATGTTTCTCTCTCATCGATGTTTCTAACTCTCTATCTCTCTTCCTTCCTCTCTGTAAAAAATCAATAAAATATATTTAAAAAAAAAGAGAATAAGGCAGAAGTCTGAAGCTAAAGTGTCTGTGTGCTGACCTAAAGGGTGGCCATAGCCGAAATGCTCATAGGGGAAAGGCACAGCTGGTCTCCTTCTGTCCTTACTAAGTGTGGCTGGTAGCTAGTTCTACCCCTGGAGCTGCCCTATTGCATCTACTTCAGTCTCAGTGCATAGGACTGTATGGGAAGTCAACTCCCAAGGTCAATCCAAACATACATTTTTGGAAGCCATTCTCTGGACTCCCAGACTGATTTTCCAAGGGTCTTTGTGATAATGCCTCAATTTATGTGCTTACTGCTTTGCAGGTGTATGTTTGTGAGGCACATCCTTGACTCCTCATGTGTGCCAGTATAGATTAATTTTTCTGATCGATTCCTCCATGTCAGTGAGTCTCAAACTTGTGTGCATCAGCAACTGCTGGGAGTCCATCACAAATTCAGATTCCTAAGCTCATATATGTCTGGATAGGATCCAGGTCATCACTGGGCCTCAGTTTAAGAAATCACTATGTTAGTAAGTGTGTTAAAGAAAGAGAAATTTCTTTTAGATTTCTCTTTTCAAATGGGTTTATTAAAAGTATCATTAGTTATCCTACATAATAAAAGCCTAATATGCAAATCGATCTAATGGAGGAATGACCGGTGGAAAGACTGGTCACTATGATGTGCACTGACCACCAGGGGGCAGATGCTCAATGCAGAAACTGTCCCCAGCCCACAGGCCCCAGGCCAGCCAAGGCAGGTGCCAGCGGGGTTCCCCTGATCGCCCTGCAGGTTGCCCCGCAGAGGTAGGTGACCGGCAGTGGGGGATGGGGCTGGCTGACTAGTGGGCTGGGCTGCCTCTCCAATCGCTCCACCAGTAGGGGGTGGGGCCAGCAAGCAGGCAGCGCCAGGCTGGCCAAGGCGGGTGCCAACGGGGGCCCCCCAATTGCCCTGCCGGTTGCGCCACAGCTCTGCCCTGATTGCCAGCCAGGCCTAGGGACCCTACCTGTGCACGAATTTCGTGCACCGGGCCTGTAGTTTGATATATTGGAAAATAACTCAGATAATAATTTGGCAGTTTTTGGATATATAAAACAAAGTTAATCAAATGTAGTCATCCTATATAATAATAGAGGAATATGCAAATTGTCCATTACAGCATCATGTCATGACTGGATCAACAGGCTGCATCCCCACCCTCTGCTCAGCCAGCTGCAAGGCCCAGGGTAGGATAGGCTACGATAGGTGGGGATAAGAAAGGAGAGGGAGAGGAAGGCAGGCCTGCATGCAGACAGGCCAAGAGGAGAAACAGAAATACAGAAAGGGAACAAGAAAAAGACGCAGGAATGGAAAAGGGAAGAAAACACAGAGCTGCACGCGGGAGTGGGTGGTGACTGTCAGGGGACAGAGCAGGTGTGCTGGGCAAGGGGCAGGGTGTAGGCAGTGCGGAACGGGGAGCCCCGCCCAGACATGGGAGGAAGGCGGTGTCCCCTGATGTGGGCCGTTGGCGGGGAGGTGCCCACGGGTCAGGGACGGAGTGGTGGACGGTCCGAGGCCTTCTGGGCGGAGGTACTCCTGCTTCGCGGCAGCAGTGCCTGCCTCGGCCACCCTTGCTGGACTAGGCATCCCAGACAGGGAATGGGAGCAGGACAGCAGTGGGGTGGCCGGGGAAGGGGGGGCAGTAAACAACTGGCCGGGGCTGAGCCCTGGGCTGGGGGTTAATGCCCCCTCCCCCCAAAAAACAGAAGCTTTAAGAAGGGAAGAAGGGAAGGAAGAACTTTATAAAGCAGTTAGTAGAGAGCAGAGTTAAAGAAGGAAAGAGGATGTGTGAGTGAACTGTAGGAGCTATAATGAAAATCAAGTATAGTTGTGTACTGGGGACAGATTTTAAAAGTAAGAGTCAGGAAAGAAAAAAGATAAATGATAGTGAATAATTAGGCA